ACACACACACACACACACACACACACACACACACAGAAATAGAGAAAGGGAAAGTGAGAAAGCAAGCCACCAGGTCCAGGACTCAAACGGTGGTCAGCCATGTGGGAGTGTCCAGCATCTTAACCTTCACACCACCTGCTGGCCCCCAAAATATTTCATTTTTAAGACCATCAGAAATGAACACATTCGTCTTTAGAAAACTTGTACCAGGGTCAGCAGGTGGTATAGTGTTTAAGGTGCTGGACTCCCAACTGGCTGACCACAGTTCCAGTCTCAGACATGGTGACTTGAAAAATCACCATGTGCATATTCATGTGTGCCAAAAATCCCAAGAGAAGAATGGAAGAAAAGGGATTGTAGTGTGGCCATCCTCCCTGGGGGGATGATTTCTCACTTTCTCTCTCTCTGTCTCTCTATCTTTCCATCATGTGTACGTACCCTGTGGCAGAAATCGCTCTAAGCAAAACGAAACAAAACAAAAAACTCATACCAGTTTATACTCCCTCTCAATGTAATAGAGTACATACTTCTCCAAGCCCAATACAACATTTAATGGTATTATTTTATCTCTGATATTAGAGGTAGAAATAATTTATACTCATGCATATATACATAACAGAAAGTCTGGAAGTCTATAAAACCAAAATGTAAATGGCAGTTATTTCTTGATGGTGGCATTACAGATGAACATTTTCTGTTTCCCTATATTTGTGTTATTTATAAGATTGAACATACTGTAATGTTTATTCATTACTTACTGTGAATTGTTGCTCAGTAGCCTTTATATATTAATAATGTTAACTCATTGTATAATTTTCATTCACTGACTATTTTTGACTGAATGTCAGCTATGTGCCAGGTACTTTTCTAGGTGCTTACAGAGTATCAGTGAAAAAAACAAATGGTAAGCAAAAGGTATTAAAATATGGCAATCTTGGGGACTAGCAGTTAGCATAATGGCTGTGTCGCTGGGCTCCCATGTAGTCGACCGCGGTTCGCATCCCGGACCCGCAAACTTGTCTTAAACTCATGCAGGGCGCGTGTGCGTGTGTGCTCAAGATCTCGAGAGGAGAATGGAGGAGAAGGGATTGTGGTGTAATCATCCCCCCCTGGGGAGTGATTTCTCGCTTTCTGTCTCTCTGTCTCTCTCTGTATTTCTGGCAAACGCACGTGCCCTATAGCAAAAACCTCTTCAAAAAAAAAAAAAAAAGGACATCTTGGGCTAGCTAATGTGATGGTGGTTAACATGGCTGGATGCCCCATGGCCAACCCCACAATTCAAGTCCTGGACCCACAGACTTGAAAAACACACTAGACATGTCTCCAAAAATCCTGAGAGGACAAAGGAGAAGGGATTGTGGAGTGGCCATCACCCCTGTGGGATACATTCTCATTTCCTTCTCTGTCTGTCTCTGTCATGCATGCATACTCCTTGTAGCAGGAAGAAAATGCCAGACTTACAGTGTTAGAAGGGAAAAAGTTTAGAAAAAAATAAACATGATAAAGGAGGGTTATTGGGGCAGCTGAAGGCATGATCAGTGTGGATCTCATGAGGAGGTAAGACATGAGCAAATACTTGAGAGTCAGTTATGTGGACATTCTTTCTGGGAGGAAGAGAAGTTTAGGCAAATGGTGCAGCCAGCACGAAGGCACAAGGCAGGAGCATGCCCAGTATATTCACGGAGCAACAAGTATGTGGGGGACAGGGGACAGGACCTTGATTCTGACTCTGAGTGGTGTGGGAAACTATGAGAGGGTTCTATCTGAAGTATGTCTTTGAAGGCTTATTGTATGGAGAGTGGATTGTACGAGGCAGGAATGGGAGCAGAAAGACCACTCAGGCTGGATTGTCAAGGAGCTTGTGTAGATTGTGAAGAGCTTCGGGTCTGATGCTCAGGGCACTTCAACATTAGGAAGTTGGGAACAGGAAAAGTAGACAAACTTAAGAATTAGTAATCAGAGGTAGGAAGAAAGCAGTATGCCTTGGAATTCATGTCTGGAACATATGTAAAAAGAGAGTCAACCAACTGTGTCAAATGAAATGAGTACCGAGAATTGACCGTTGGAATTAGCATTGTTTAGGTCATGGTAACCCTGACAAGTAGTAAGGTACAGTAGCCTATATAGAGTGAATTTAAGAGCAAATAGGAAATGAGCATTAGAGTCAGTAACCATCTCATGGAGTTTTGATGCACACAGAAGCAGAGAAATGGGGCAGTGAGGGGAAACTGTGGGATTACCAGACAGCATCAGGTGCCCAACTTGAAGGTCATGGTCATGAATGTAGTGTGGGACTATTCAGTGTGATTGTGATGTTTTCTTCAACCACATTCAGCTATAAGGGTTCAGGTAAGAAGTAGGTGGAGACATAGATTTAATCAGATTGTAGTTTGATAAAGGCAGTGAGTACAAGAGAGCTGAGGATACATGGTTGACCTTGGGATTTAAATTGAGAAGGAGGAGAGAGATCAGAAGGGTGAGGGAGAGTGACATGGTGGTGGTAGGGTTGGATTGGAGGCTCAGTGAGGTGAGAGGATTATAGAGTTGTGGTACTAGAGTTGTAAAGGTTAGAAGGTAATTCAAAACTGAAACCTTT